GGGTTTTGTTTACCTATTGTACAGTGCTATGGAATATGTTAGATTTTGATAACGTATTATAGTTTATAGTTATAGTTATAGTTTATAGTTTTCTTTAACATGAAGAATAAATGTAATCTAGTTTAAGCCTTTGTGCATTCTCTTTTAAAGAAACTTCCATTGAGGTTTAATGAGTCATATTTCAAGTTACATTCATTCATTTTAGGATATAGATTATAAATGAACTACCAAGCTGCACCCAACATCAACATTAGGTTAGTTCTTCACAAAAATAAAAGATTTTTCTTGCAAACAGCAGGGACCTAATAGAGGGAGCAAAGCGTTCGTGGTGGAGCTTGCTAATTAGGGAGCAGCATAGAATTTATTACATGCTGTGCAATTAGAACTAAAAGGTTATGTTTCCCCTAGGATTGGCTTGAAATGTGTTCTTTTTATTTAGCCTATGAAAGGAGCACATGAAGCAGAAGTGCTGGTGATAACAATAACGACTGCGTGGTTTTTGCAAAAACACATATGTGCAAAGCGAACAACATTGTGTTCTGTAATACAGCTGTCTTCTCTCGTCTCATAATGCCCCCATAAAAGGGATGCTAAAACTATAATAGAATCTGAAGCACAGTCACAAAGAGTCATTTGGTGAAGCACGTTTAGCATACTTCAAAGGTTTTTGGGTCATATTCTTTCAAATGTTTTTAGATAACTAGTGTGCTTGCCTGGGTTATATATTTCTTTTTAAATACGTGATATAATATATATATTTATGAACAGAAATAATATGATTTAGCGTATGACTCATAGTGCCCCTCTGTAGGTGGAATAGTCCTTACATTAGAAATTATCCATTAGTCTGTCTTATTTTTCAGCACTTAGAATTGTTTAAGCTTTGGGGTTTAAAAATGTCAAGCTTCTACAGTACTTTTTTTTTTTAAATCTAATATGTTTATACAATTTTTATGCATTCTATACTATATGATTTGTATAGTTTCTCCACCATTATTGATGACGAATACAAACGTTTCAGATTTTGAAACTTGATTAAGGCTTCAAAAACTGAAACATGGGGGCAGAAGCACGGCACTATTGTTCCTCTGCTATATCGCTTAAATAATTTAGTTACCTTTTCACCTTCCAGTGAGGGTACATGCTCTGATGCGAAGGCTGGTGCCATGTGTAAGCTGATGCATTTCGGGCTTAACCTGTTCGCAAGGAGAATGCAACTGCGAGGACTCAGTCTTACTCTGGAAACTGAGTGAGGAAGGCCACCGCTCCCTAACACAACAGTGCACCAGAAATCTGGAATATGACTTTTTGGCCCCTTGCTTCCGGGTAACATATATGATGGATAGTAAACCGAAACAGTGTTGTGCAGGAGCATTTGGCAAGATGGCTACCCTGCTCAGAGTAAGGAGATACCATGTCTAAATTTGATCCACTTTGTGTGGAATTGTGGTTTTGGATGTCCCATTGTACACTTCTGATGCAGCTTGATGTTCACCATCTGGAAAAGGATATGAGTCAGCATGGAGGGAGGCAAATTGTTAACTTCAAGCAGTGTTACTCCTAAGTGGATCCCAACCAGGATTATTGGAAGAGACGACAGAGTCACTAAAACCTATTTTCTTGGTTCCTGCAGTCTCCCCAAGGACTTGAGCATCTTGTGTAGCTGGGTATATGGAGATAAGGTGTCAGCTCCTTTATTGGCCAGGGCTAGTATTGTGTTATTTCTTGGCCCACTTGCAGTGCTCCCTTTGGTGATCTCCGTGAGACTGATATTTCCCTACCAAGCTTGGGCATTATATTATATCAGTAGCACCATTTTTTCAGGCCCCATACAGTGCTTATTTTTTTGCACCCTGTTTTCTCTGCTGTTATTTGTGAAGTTACTTTTATTTTCCTTCACTTGTACATACAAGTTACAATGTGGCTTACCTGTGGTCTATATACATTATCTGTTATTGTTCTCAGTGCCTCTATTTCTGTCACTTAAATTTGCTGTATCCTATGAGCACTGTCAATGTCTTTTACATGCTACATTCAGGGCCGGCACAGCCGGTATTTGGGACTGCTTGGCCGTGCCGGTATTGCAGCAATATCGGCAATACAAATGCAGATATTTTTTTTCTCAGTATAATTGGAGATTACTCTGCAATACCAGCACCAGCCAGTAGTGGTCACTATGTGTGGAGAGAGGCAGGGATAGGAAGTTATAGCATATCCCTCCCTGCCTCTCTCTAATCACTGATCCGTGGGGAAGCAGCTACACAGCACAGAGAGTTCAGACAGCAGCTCCCAGTCTGCAGACAGACAACAGCTCAGGGAAGTGAAGGATGGGGGGAAAGGCAGCAGGGAAACACGGGGACACTGAGACACTAGGGGACACTGTGAGACATAGGGACATTGGGACACAGTGTCTCTATGTCTCCCAGTGTCCCCATGTCTCACAGCCAATGTCCCTAGTGTGTCAGTGTCCCCACGGCTCCCAGTGTCCCCTAGTCTCCCAGTGTCTGTGTCCCCATGTCTCTCTCAGTGTCCCTAGAGTCTCGTTGTCCCCATGTCTCCCAGTGTCCCCAAATATCTGTCTCCCAGTGTCCACATGTCTCCCAGACAGTATCCCTAGTGTCTCAGTGTCCCCATGTCTCCGAGCCACTATCCCTAGTGTCTGTGTCCCCATGTCTCCCAGTGTCCCAAAATGTTTCAGTGTCCCCATGTCTCCCAGTGTCCCCATGTCTCCCAGCCAATGTCCCTAGTGTCTCAGTGTCTCCACGGCACCCGGTGTCCCCTAGTCTCCCAGTGTGTAGCTCTTAATCTGGCCCTGGCTACATTATTTAAAAAAAAAAACACAAAAAAAAAAACGAGTTGGCGTTATATAGCTGTACGAATAGATTTTTCAACTTGTTCTGACATATTTATTCCTGATATTATGTACAATGTTTTGCATGTACTATGCTATTCACACTCAATAAAAAATTGATTGACAAAAATTTAAACATTTGTAATTTGAGAAGTGTGCTTCCTTTTATACATGTAGGCGGTCTTCATTTTGTTTGTTTCAAAATAAAAGCAGTCTGTCAACTCAAAAAGGTTTGATAATAGCAATAGTAATAATAGAAAAATAAAATATATATACATTCATATTGCTCACCAAAACCTTGTTCACTATCATGCTATTCTCTTAACAACAAAGGTAGCAACACAGCAATAGAAAAATGTTATCTGAAACCCTAGTCATCCCCTATAAATAATACTGAATAACACAGACTGCTACCTGTCAAATGTACTCTCAAGACAGTAGCCTCTTGGTTATTGTTACCATACCAAAAGTATTTTTGCAGAGCACAGTTGTGATAGAGCTCCTATACTCCAACAGAGTACCTCCACCCAATCCACTTCCTAGCCATTGGGGAGGGATCCTGTAACGCATCAACCCCATTCGCTGAGTCTTGACTGGGGTCTCTCCGGAGCTTTTCTACCCAACCAGGGTGCGGCCCTTCTTCCCGGCAAGTATCTTCCCCTCTGCCTATTCCTTTGCAGTTTTTCTTCCAGGCAGGTATCGTCCCCTTTGCCTATTCCTCTGCAGCTCTGTTTATAGTAAATGCTTGCAAAGGCACTTGCACCTCTCAGGCCTAGCTCTCTTGATTTATCCAAGGGCTAGAGGGATCGTACAAAGACTCTTTCCCTGGGATCCCTGAAAATATCTACACAGGACATTAGTTTCAAAAGGAACTAACATACAAAGCTTTATTTTTACTCGGGACTTGCCCACATGATTAATATATCACACTTACTGTGACAAATGTAATAAAATACAAATAACCAAAACATGTCAAAACATACAGGGAATTAACAACATAATAAAATATATTTATAAAGGGGTGGGGAAGACAATAATTAACAAAACAAAAGCTCTCCTGCCTGCAGAATTAGCAATATGCTAATCTACCCGAATAAGTACATTAACAGGCCTTGCTATTCAGGTAGTGCATATAGCTGTTACCACCAACAGAGGAAGCTATACAGGCTCCATAGACAAATCCACCTAGTTGGTAGCAAGCATCAGCAGGACAGGAGAGCACACAAACAATTAACAATCAATACATAATACACACCCTGCACCTATAATGGGCACAGGGTGACTTAGACGTAGGAGTAATCCAGGGTCCTACATAAAGTGTTTGTCTGAAACTCTTGGTGATGGTGAGTACCATCACAACAGTGTAAATCTTTTATGTAAAATTATGACTAGGCTTGGACTAAGGCTTGTGGTGGAGTAACGTAACGTATGTTAGATGTAGTAGGAACTTAGAGTTAGGGTTAAGATCTTGCTCTGCAAAAAGAATATTAGGGAAATGTCCCATGTAGTCGGCAGGAGTAAAATTAGTAAGTACCAAATAAATATAAAAGATTGTATTAGGGTCCTTAGGACCCTGTGAAGGCTAGACCTTTAGGTGGAGAAATGTATGTGAAAATTCACTGAAGACGAATAGAATCAAAAATGGGTCGCAAGAGAATACTGAGGACGGGCAGCAGCTGAAATAGCCTGCCCTTCGGTCGGTCCCCGCTCAGTTCTCAAGCTGATTTTTGCTCATCTTGTGCCATTACATAGAGAACATATCTGAAGCATATCAGACTGGTCCCACCCATACGGGCAGTCCAGATCCGAAATGCCAGCAAGTTCTCTTTGCACGAGAGATACAGCAACCCCAGACGATCGTTTCAGCCTTGTTAGGCATCATCAGTGAGGCATAGCTGATATCTCCCTAGGCACCGTGAGCAAGGGGTCCACGTCTGGATTATCCCTTTAAACTTGTAGAGAATCAAAAATGGGTCGCAAGAGAATACTGAGGACGGGCAGCAGCTGAAATAGCCTGCCCTTCGGTCGGTCCCCGCTCAGTTCTCTAGCTGATTTTTGCTCATCTTGTGACATTACAGAGAGAACATATCTGAAGCATATCAGACTGGTCCCACCCATACGGGCAGTCCAGATCCGAAATGCCAGCAAGTTCTCTATGCACGAGAGATACAGCAACCCCAGCTATGCCTCACTGACGATGCCTAACAAGGCTGAAACGATCATCTGGGGTTGCTGTATCTCTCGTGCAGAGAGAACTTGCTGGCATTTCGGATCTGGACTGCCCGTATGGGTGGGACCAGTCTGATATGCTTCAGATATGTTCTCTCTGTAATGGCACAAGATGAGCTAAAACCAGCTTGAGTTCTGAGCGGGGACCCACCGTAGGGCAGGCTATTTTAGCTGCTGTCCGTCTTCAGAATACTCTTGCGACCCATTTTTTGCTCTCCGAAGAAGAATAGAAGGCTCAGTGAGCAAACTTGAAATATAGGAGAAGGCATTGTAGAGCTGTTTATGTGTTGCTTTGATACTCCAATGTAGAGATGCATGTCATTGATATATTGTGTGGGCATTCATGCCTCAGGAAGTCTTTAAAGGTGTGTTAAACAGTACAAGTGGTAGTGATAACCCTTGTGTTACCTTAGAGACTATCACAGCTTTGTCATACATGTTAGTTCTTTTTTACCTATGGTTGGTCAAGAATGAGGTGATCCACTTTTGTACGTTGAGGGAACTGAAAAGGGAGGGAGGGTAGGGACTTTAAAAAAAAAAATGTGGGGGGGCGGGGCCTGACCGCTGAGCAGAGAGGAAGCATGCCTCACCAGCTCCCGCTGCTTGGGGCTAAAACAATGGATTCTAGACGCTTGAAAGGCACTAAATTGCAGTTTAATGGCCACCAAGTGACGGGTGATACCGGGGCGCACACACAGACACCACTCAAGCGACGATGTTATACAGGCGTACCCAAACTCACAGCGAGGCCTACCAGCATGGCGGGCACAGGGAGGACGGCCGCTTCCCTGCTGCCTGAACCAGCCAGATGTAGGACTCCGGGCCCTTGTTCTCCCCCCCCGGACCGGTGGGGGTTATCCCGGTCCACCCCCTCACGGTCACCTCAGCAGGTGATAAGCGGTTGAACAGATCGGGCGGACTGGAGGTCGCTGGTGTGGCTGACAAAATGGAGAACGACACGCACGCCTCAACCCTCTGCAAGGCCGAGAGAGAAACGGAGCTCAGACTCACCTTCATTTTTGACGCCTTCTGGGAGAGGCTGGAACAGCTTGAGTGGCCCCCGGAACCGGGGACCCAGCCTGAAGCTACGCCACACGGCCCACTACGAGAGGCCCAAGAGAATGTCCCGGCACACGCCGTAAGTTCCCTTGCTGGGTCCCACAGGCGCCTGAAAACGACCAACCCGATGTCGGGTGAACAGAGTCACACCAAGAGTGAACGCGACCAGGCACAGGCAAAGCATCTTAAGGGGACCCCCAAAGCACAGCGCAGAACACCGCCTTGCTCCCCGACAATGACCCAGCCTAAGAGGAGCAATGGCCAACTCATCCACACATGCAAGTGGCAGACCAAGAGGCCTAAAATGGCGGCAACAGCAGCACAAATCTACAGCCACAGCTACAGCCATGTGGGAACCACAACTGGAGCCACATTATACATACCGACTAGGTCCTCTGCCCTCACTGAGACTCTCTTCTCCTACACTGCTGGACCACAGGGAATGCGGCACGCAACATCGCTGCAACTACCGGCGCAGGGGGAGCACACCCAGCCCCAACAAGGCATCGGCTGACCCATACAAGACTGGGACTCAATGTCAGGCACAGTGCCCAATACTCCTCACCTCTTAACACCCGAGGTTGAACTCTTATACCTGTATGCATGCAATTCAATAGCCCTTTAGTTTATGCTGGGGACCGCAGAGGGGATATCGATAGTGACTATAAGCTAAGCTTTTCTATGTATAGCCTCACTATTCTGATACATAAGTTAGTTTAGCGTACGTACCTTTCTAACCTACAACTGTTTATTAAGCATGATCACGATAGCTATGTTTCTAGCTAGGCATAACGTTTCATTGCACCTCTTCTACTCGTGTCTTTTGAAAGAAAGTTCATTTTGCTTATCATAATGTTTAGAAATTCAGCAGGTTAATAATTTATGACAGTCATGTCAATTTATTTCTCGTAAACACACATCTTGCTATTGTTACTCGCATTTACTAACCAGACTTACTCATCATTACTCTAACAATTTAAAAATGTGCGCAGTTTAATCCTACGTTACAGTATTGTATAACTATGCTTTAAGTTTTTGCCTTTGTTCCATCTCTCAAGCCTGCTATCAGGCAGCGAAGCGCAGATTCAATATAAGTTACCTAACTGCTAAGCGAGACTAGCCTGCAAAAGCATGTGTGTTATCCATGGTTTAACCTTTAACATGTCTCCTATCTTGAATATAAAAAAAAAAAACTGTGCTATGTATTTCAATGCCATACCTATGTTAATGTATGTTTTCAAACCTGCTTGCACCTGCTATTGTGGCGGTACAAGCATGATTGTTCAAGCTATGCACAAATAAAATAAAGAATTTAAATTAAAAAAAAAATGTGGAAGGGATTGTAATGTTACTTACCCGAATGCTGCTTGAACACTCCTGGCGGGCCGAGCGCGCCGAATGGTCTGATTGGGCACGCAGCCCGTACAGTATTAAGAATGCTGCTCGCATTGCGAGCACTTTCTTAAAGGGGAAATGGGAGTCTAACCTTGCGGTCGGCTCCCATTGACCCATGTCATTCCTGGGCCCCCATTCACACATGTTTTGGGGTGCAGGCATGACGTGGACCAATCAAATGAAACAAAGGATTATTTAAACTTACCTGGGCCTAGATATTGTGCCCTCTTGTGGTTTCTGTTCCCAGTACCCTTTAGTGCATTCCTTGTGTTATTGTATTGTATTCTGGTATTGACCTTGGCTTTGTTTCCTGACTCTGAGTTTCTCTTTAACCCTTGCCTGTCTTGTTTGCCCATCTGATTTACTGTGTATCCAAACTTAGCTAGTTCTCGTTTTCGCTGTCTCTCCGTTACCCAGACCTCAGCTTGTATTTTGACTACTCTTTACTCTGTGTAATGTTTAGTCCGGCCACTCTAAGGCCCGGTAAGACATTTATATTTCCTTTGTCCATTCCTTGCTATCCCAGACTCTGCTTGTTAGGGTTATACTCCGTGACCAGGATTAAAAGGTGGGAGGGCATCCTGCAGTGTTGGAGCACTGCAAGGGAGAAGATGTTATGTTTGTCAGCAGCCTGCACTGCATAGAACTGACATAAGGCAGCCCGGAAAACAGTTCTGGGCTTACTAAGTCGTATTTAAAAAATCAGAAGTGGTCATGGTAGTTGAAAGAATATAAGAACGGACAAAAGCTTAGAGGAACTCAGTAGCTTTTCCTTCAGTAAATCCCTGCTCAGGTCTCAAAATAGTTTATGATCACTTGTGCCATTACAGAGAGAGCCAGTTCCAAGGCATATCAGACTAATCCTACCCATAAGGGCAGTCCAGAACCAAAATGCCAGCAAGTTCTCTATGCACAAGAGATTTGGCTTTAACTCATGCAACCCCAGGTGCTCGTTTCAGCCTTCTTTGCTCTCAATCCGATTAGCTATCTGTGGGGTGTACTGGAACAACAAATCCAATCTATGGAGGCCCCACCTCACAACTCTGTTGTTAATGTTTTGGTGCCAGAAACCACAGACACATTTAGAGGTCTTGTGGAGACCATACCTCGATGCCTCAGAGCTGTTTTGGCAGCACAAGGGGGACCTACACGATATTAGGCAGGAGGTGTCAATGTTGTGGCTGATAAACATACCTAGAAAAAGTGTGTTAGTTATAAATAAGTGAGCAGCTGTCTCATCATCACAAGTGTTACTTATACAGATCACCAAGCAACACCCGCCCCTCACGTTTCATGAGTACATTTGAAAGCTAATTATTATTGTCACTATCCTGCTGATTGCTCTCAAAAAGATATCTAGTTATTTTGTATCACTTTGCTCTTCCTACACGTCTGTTCAGTCATATGTAGTATCAGCAGTATAATGAGCAAATCGCTAGACAGCATCGCAGGGTATAATTGATGCTCTCTGATGTATTTGGTAAATGATTGCAAACAGCCTCAGGCTGTGAACTTCAATTCTTAACCAATGGTATAGCATTACTGACATGAGCATGAAATATACTAATGAAAGAGAATGCTTGTGATCTGCAACTTCAATTTGTTGCTGACTTGTCAATAACAAATATGCCAGATATTTTTAACTTGCGATGCTCCCATCCAAACTTATTTTATTTCCATTAAACAGTAAATACTCAATTACCAGCAACAGTTTAGAGTTACCAAGTGAGCTTCCATTCATTTTTGAATATTATCAGGGTCATTTAGAAATAAGAATAAGAATGCTGGTTTATTGACGGCATCACATCCTGGATCAGAAATAATAATCAGAAGTAAGAAATGTTTCTCATTGGTAACTAGTGTTACTATCAGAAATGTACCACAAAACATCTCAACAAAACCACTCAGGTAAGCACACACTGCTGGAATACGTTGTAATCGGAGGTCAGTTTTAAGACGCATATTAAGTATCATGTGTTAAAGGCTGACTGTATCCTGTGGCATAGCCTCTGTGTGTTTTATTGTAAAAAATAAAGAAATGCGCAACCATACCTATTGTTAATGCACCCAGACTTACCCTTGCTCATTCGGAGCGGCCATTTTTAAATCCTGTTTGGCTGAAAGCACAGATTGCTGATAATGCAGAATTAGTGATTGTTTTTTATGAAAACTGATATCCTGCCCAAGTGCTGGGCATCTCAAAAATGCACTCTCGAGTGGCTTCAGATTTTTAAATATTGTATCTTGTCAGCAGAGTGGGGCTTATGACCAAAGAGGGGGAAAAATAGCTGTCCTCATAAGCAAGGGTAGATGTATTAACCCTTCTTGCTGCTAACCAGTGATCGATCCAGGGGGCAGCACCAAGGCACTTATCCTTTCCCTCCTCCCCTCGAGAAGTCAGGGTCATTTAGGTCTGGCCAGCAGTTGGGGCTGAAGGAAACATAATTAGACCATATGCCTTGTTAAATATATCTGTGCATCTATCTCTGTGTGGTTGTATATGTCTGTCTGTGGGTATAGGTATTTGTGTGTGTTGTGGGTGTATATGTAGGTTTGTGTCTGTATGTGCGTA